AGTCACCTCCCCGCCATGAGATGTGGATAGCAGCCCGGACAAAATCAGATGGGCAAATGACTTCTGAGTCTGCAAGGGTCGTTGCTGATAAAATAGTAAGTAAAAATATACAAACTAAGACTCTTCATTTCAACTCATTTAATTCATAAGTGTAGTTTAGGGTATACTTATTGTTAATATGTTGTAGGAGGGTTTAGTTGAGCAAACCACCCAGGGATCATTTATTTCCCATGGTCGGGATGATATCCTCACACCAGCCATAGGAAGGCCAGAGCACGCATGGCGTGTGCGTGGTGTTGGTGGTTCTTGGAGTCACCGAGATTACTTTGGTGCACGACCATCGAGGAGCAGTATTGTTGACTCTTGCAGTCAGGAGGCTATGCAGAGAATGGAGATGTAGTTTGAAGAGAAATTGAAAAACATTCGAGAAGAGTTTGAACTGAAGTTTAAACTTTTGGCTTGTTCTCAGCAACAGACTGTAGTTGCTCATGATGGTGTTCGAGTCAGCACTAAAGGGAGTTATGTTGCTCCAGATCTCTCAGGGGAACAGACTCAAATTTACCTAGACAAAAAAATAGATAAATTATTATTCATTTTGGACCAATAATTTTGTTAATGTTTAATTTGATCACATTATGTTTAAATGATTCAATTTGGTATTTTAATTTTCAAGAAAGTTCAATGTTGCCTTTTCATCTAATTTCATTAACATTGTTAGTATCAATTTGAATAGAAGGACAACATTAAACATTTTATAAAAATTAAGTGAAAGAATAAAAAATTAAAAATACAAATTATTTATGTCGGGGATAGGCTTCAAACTTCAGTGTTTCTTAATAAGTTTCCACATTAGCTAAGTAATAAGCTATACTAGACAATTTATTAAAATAAGTTCAAAACATCTTATGGGTTACTCATAAGATACTTGTTAAGTTAGTCAAAACACTATCATTAACACTTATAGAATAAGATAAGTATAAATAAGTTATTCATAAGCTCTTCCAAACGATGTCATAATTGTATAGTGTAGATTTATAGTTCTCAATCTCATTCCTACATAAACATTTTTAATTAAGTAAAAATATCCATAAATGGGAGGGACTCAATGTAACAACTCAAACACATTGATACATGCGTGAGACGTGTGTAGTTAAGGATGACTTGAATGAATTAATTAGTACTACCTATATTAACAAGATGCATATATTTTTTGATAGTTCATCATCTAAGAACTCCACAGTTAAACATGTTTGACTTAGAGCGATTAAGGGATGAATGATCTTCTAGAAAGTCTTTCCAAAAAGTGTGAGTGAGGATAAAATACTTTGAAAAGTCTTGTATTGGTTTGTGTAGACAATTGTTGATCCTAAAAGTGATCGGATATCTTAGAAAGGGTTACTCATAAAGGATTTTAACTAGTGAAAGGTTTTGACCAATAAGAAGTTATGTAAAGTGTCGCCGTGTGAAGTGTCATAGAGTGGAGTCATTGAGATGTCAAATTTGAAAAGTGCTACATATGGTATTAGAGCTATGTTGTTATGCTCTAGGAATGAACCAAGTAGAAGCTAGTAGGCTTGTAACAACCCAAACATACTAGAATGAGAGACATCTAGAGATTTAACACGTGTGAGACTAAGTAGTTAAGGATAACTTAAAAGAATTAATTTACACTATTTATATCAATAAGATGCATAAAAATTTTGGTAGCTTATAACTTAAGAACTTCATTGTTAACTATGTTTGACTTAGAGCAATTTAGGGATGATGACCTTCTAAAAAGTCATCCCAAAAAACGTGCAAGGTAGGACAAAACATACTAAAAAGTCTTGTATTGATTTGTGGGGATAGTCGTTGATCCTAAAGTTGGTCAAGCATCTCAAAAAAGGCTACTCATAAATGGTGAAGTGTTATGACCAACGAGTAATTGTGTGAAGTGTCACCATGGGCTACCTCAAAAGGTTCTAACTGGTGAAATGTTTTAACCAACAAGGAATTGTGTGAAGTATCACTATGTGAAGTGTTATGACCAACGAGTAATTGTGTGAAGTGTCACCATGGGCTACCTCAAAAGGTTCTAACTGGTGAAATGTTTTAACCAACAAGGAATTAAACATATGTTTTATAGCTTTTTTAGGATAATAGGATTTACGTTGTCATAATTTATTCTTTTTAAGATTTATATATTGTACTACCCGTACCGCTATGCCGAGCTCGAGCTCGGCATTTTAGCGCGGCGTGACCTCGAACACGCGCTAGGCCATGTCCCCTCGACATCCAAATAGGTCATAAACTGATCTCAGGCCCAAGGCCCAACAAAACCCTAAATTCACACAAAGGTACGTGCATTACTTATACGAGACTCAGACACCCACAAACACTAACTTTAGCATCGGAGACTCTTTTGCAGGTACCACCCCCGCCTTGAAATAGCAAGCGTACCCAGTGAATGAGGCTCGCCGATCTTACCCAGCAGATCGTCCCTTACGACCGATCTCTGGTAAGAACATTTGGCGCCCACCGTGGGGCTGATCAAGACAACTCTTATCGGCCATGCATATGGTTTTCACCCGAAGCCATAGTAGACGAGCAACAGACGACGTAGATCACACGACACGCATGGACAACGAAGCAACATTGAGAAGATTGATCTAAGAGGTCAAGCAGATGCGGCAACAACACACCGCCGATCTGCAAAACATCCGTGCCAAGCACGAAACTGACCTAGCGGTGCTGCGTACCGCGAATGAGGATGACCTAGCGGCGCGCAGAGAATGAGCGTATTCGCGCCCAGCTTCCTCGGCACCCTTCTGATCAGCCCCTTCAACTAAGTAGTCAACACGAAGAGGAGGGGCACTCGGTCTCTCAACCCCCAACCGCGCTGATAAGTGTTTAATTAGTTTGATTAAATACTCACTTGAGACACTTATCTAGCACAAATTGTGTACATATTGATATTATTTTGATCTATATATGCTTAGAATCAAAGAGGTACTTTTGATTAATGTTAGTACAGGGAATAGGAAGCCTTTGATCCAATTTGGTGCTTATTTTGTAGGTTTTGAAACCTGGAGAAGAATGGCTCAGCCATTCTAAAGCGCTCAGCGGAATCAGGCCACAACTTCCCAAACTGAAGGCGCTCAGCCACTTCAAAGCACCCAACGGATTGGCCCCTGGAAGAGAAGGAGTGTTCTCTGCCTCCAAGGCGCTCAGCCACTCCTATCCGCTCAGCGGATTTGACCCAGGAAAAAGGGGGGTGCTTTCTGCCTCTAAAGCGCTCAGCGGATCTGAGGCGCTTAACCCTTTTGAATGCTTAGCAGTGAAGGATCTCCAAGGCGCTCAGCGGATCCAAGGGGCTCAGCCCTTTGGGTTACTTCATGGTGAAGGAGTCTTCAAACCGCTCAGCCGTTTCAAGGCGCTGAGTGGATTTGTCTCTCTCCTGTTCACTCTATTTTAATTTTATCACATATATAAGGGCAGAAGAGAGAGAAAAAATCAACATCAAGCTGTACGAAGCAAGAGAACAGAGAGAGGAGAAAAACAGAATACTCTAGAGCTCGTGGGAACACGAATCTTCAAAGGATCTTCTTCTTCTTCTACCTCTCAACTTGTAATTTGGTGATTTCTTGTAATATGGAGAGCTAATCTCTAGGGTTGGGATAGATGTAATCGTCAAACTCCTATGTATTCCTCTTTGATTCATATATATATCATCCATTACTTTATGTCAGTGATTTTGTTCCTGTTCTTAATGCTTTGATAAACTGATCATTTATCTCTGATTTTGCGTTTAGAATTTGGTTGGAAAACGTTTTCTAAATCTAGACTTGGAACGAATCACCTATTAGTTTTGAGAGCCAGGGATGGTCTTGAAACTAGTAGTTGCAATAAGTTCTGATTCTTAATGCGGGGTATTTAACCGAATGAAGTGAGGAATCATTCATTGAGTTAAATATCTTAGACGTTCTTAAGCCAAGGGATTGGGTTTGAATAAATTTAGAGAACTCAATGGCAATGAGTAATGAAATCTTTAGAAAGAATCAATAGGAGTGCATAGGAGGGAGATTGATGAAATTGAATCCCAACTGTTTCTTATATCTGTTTTTCTTCGAATCAAATTACTTTGTGGTTTCTTGAACTTGAAAAATCATCTATATCAAATTCGAATATGTGTAATTATTCCAATTTCAAATTCATAAGCATCAATTAATATAATAGAAATCTTAGCTTATCTCACAAGTCCCTGAGGTTCGACAACCTTTTATTCATACTACAGAGACTTGGGTGCGCTTGCCTAAAAAAACCAACAAGTTTCTTGGCGCCGTTGCTGGGTACTTATGTCAAGATAGTTGTAATTTCTATTGTTCTAGTTGTAGCTTGTTGTATATATTGTTTTGTTTTCATTGTGTTAAATATATTCTTTACCTGTTGTTCTAACTTTTCTGTTTAAGCCAGTCTTTGTATGTCCAATATTGACCTGCTGAGCAATTGCTATTTGATCCAGAGATTGAGAAAATAGCTAGGAAAAATAATAGTAGAAGAAGGCGACAAAGGAAGCTTGAACAGGAGAGACAGGAATAGGAAGGTACTTCCACCTCTGTTTCAGCTCAACACTCTATTCCTGAACCAATGGCTGAAGAAAGACCGGGTGGTAATGGACCTCATCATCAGCCAAGGAGACTCTTAGGAGAATACAATCATCAATTGGGTCCTAGGCACTTCTCCAGTATAGCCAAACCAACCAAGGGGGTGGAGATGAAACCAACATTACTATCTCTTATTACTGCCAATCAATTTGCAGGGATGGACCATGAAGATCCCTACACACATTTATCTACTTTTTATGAGCTTATTGGCACTATGGGTGTGCCTGGAGAAGATGAAGAAGCGGTCTATTTGAGATTATTTCCTTTCTCTTTGACAGGTAAGGCTAAGACATGACTGCAGGCCCATCCAAATCAGAGCTTAACCAGATGGGAGGATGTAGAAAGGAAGTTCTTGGCAAGATTCTTTCCTCCTTCCAGATATATAAGTGCTAAATCAGCAATTGCAACATTCTCTCAAGGTGCTGATGAACCTTTGTGTGAAGCTTGGGAGAGATATAAGTCTTTGCTGAGGAAATGCCCAAATCATGGGTTTGATGATGTGGCACAACTCAACATGTTCTGTAATGGGTTAAGACCACAGACAAAGATGCTATTGGATGCTTCTGCAGGTGGTTCTATGATGATGAAGGATTCTGAGGAAGCAATCACCATTATTGATGCTTTGGCAGCCAGTGATTACCAAGCTCACCATGATAGGAGCCAGCCCACAAAAAGGGGAATTCTGGAACTGGATACTCAAAATGCAATTTTAGCTCAGAATAAACTCCTTTCTCAGCAGATGGAAGAGTTAAAGAAGCAAATGTCCAAACTTCAAGTAGGATCATCTTCACGCCCTCAACAGGTGATGAGATGCGATTTTTGTGCAGGTGTCATCCAAATGGACATTGCACCATTTCTGAATCAGAACAGGAGGAAGAAGTTAATTACATGAACAATCCAGGAAGGCAAAGGAATTTCTCTGGTAATTATAATCAGAATCAAGGCTGGAGGAATAATCAGAATCAGTATTCTGGGTGGAAGTAAGAGGTAGGGCCTTCACAAAGGCAACCTCCACAGAAACCATATCAAAATCAGTCTTCTTATCAGCCAGACAGGTTGTAAAAAATGGAGGATGCTCTCACACAATTTATCCAGGTTTCCACAACTAACTAGAAAAATACTGAAGCTTTTATCAGAAATCTGGAAGTTCAAATAGGGCAGCAAGACAAGCAATTGGCAGATCAACAAAGCAAAAATTTTTCTGCCAATACACAAGTCAATCCTAAAGAGCATTGTCAATCAATTACAACCAGGAGAGGTACGGTGATAGGAAAGGGGATTGGCGATAATTTGAGAGAAAATGATAATGGAGGAAATGAAGAAAAGAGTGGAGTTGAGTTAGAAAGTGAGAAAGAGGTGGAGTTGAATAAAGAGGCAGAAAAAAATGAAAAAAATAAAAAAGAGATAGAGAAAAATGAGAACAAAGATGGAGATGTGAAGGAGGAGAGTAAGAAGAAAGGGAAAGAAGTTGTTAGGCCTCTTCCTGTGAAGAATCTACCTTACCCACATGCTCCGTCAAAGAAAGACAAGGAACGCCTGTTTGCAAGGTTCCTTGATATAATCAAGAGGTTACAGATCTACATACCCTTTGTAGAGGCCTTGGAACAGATGCCATCTTACGCAAGGTTTATGAAAGAGCTTCTGACAAAGAAAAGGAAATTGAGTGAGGATGGAATAGTGGAGCTGGAGGCAGGTTGCAGTGCTATAATTCAGAAGTCACTTCCACAAAAGTCTAGAGACCCAGGGAGTTTTACTTTGCCAGTCACTATTGGCAATGCTTCTGTGGGGAAGGCATTGTTGGACTTAGGAGCCAGTATCAATCTGATGCCTTTGTCTATGTTACAGAGGATAGGTGAGGTGGAGGTGAGACCTATCAGGATGACTCTGCAGCTGGCTAATAGATCCATAAAGTATCCTCATGGTGTTGTTGAAGACCTCTTGGTGAAAGTTGATAAGTTTTGGTTCCCAGTTGATTTTGTTGTCATGGATATGGAGGAGGATTCTGAAGTTCCTCTTATTTTGGGACGACCATTCATGAAGACAGCCAAGGTCATCATTGATGTTGATGATGGCAAACTCAAGGTTCGAGTTCAGGATGATGAAGTGAACTTTAATGTATTTGAAGCCATGAAACATTCAAGTGATAAGGCATGTTGCTTCAGAGTGGATGTGATTGATGAGTTGTGTATGGAAGCTCAAAAGACATTCTCAGTAGCTACACCATTGGAGAAAGCATTGATGAGTGCAGTCAGTGAAATCAATAATGAGGAAGAAAAAGAAATTCAGAAGTGTTTGGAGGAGTTGGACAAAGCAAAGGAGATTTCCCCTAATTCTACAAGTGTACAAGAGTTAAACAAGGAGGAAAAGTCTCAACCTCAAAAGTTAGAGTTGAAGCAATTGCCAAGCCATCTCAAATATGTGTTTTTAGAAGCAAGTGGTGGTAAACCAGTTATAATCAGCAGTTCCTTATCTGTGGAGGAGGAAAAGAAGTTAGTTGAGGTTCTGAAGGCGAATGAAGGAGCTACTGGATGGACCCTGTCTGATCTCAAAGGTATTAGCCCCTCATATTGTATGCACAGGATCTTGATGGAACAGGATTATAGGCCTGTAGCACAACCTCAAAGGTGCCTCAATCCAACAATGAAGGAGGTGGTCAGAAAAGAGGTGATTAAGCTACTTGAAGCTGGCATGATTTACCCTATCTCCGACAGTGCATGGGTTAGTCCTGTTCAGGCGGTTCCTTAAAAGGGGGGTATGACAGTGGTGATGAATGACAAGAATGAATTAATTCCTACAAGGACAGTCACTGGTTGGCGGATGTGTATTGCTTATCGGAAGCTGAACCAGGCCACAAGGAAGGATCACTTTCCATTACCCTTCATGGATCAGATGTTAGAGAGGTTGGCGGGTCAAGCCTACTACTGCTTCTTGGATGGTTATTCCGGTTATAATCAGATAGCAGTGGACCCGAAGGACCAGGAAAAGACAGCATTTACATGTCCTTTTGGTGTTTTTGCATATAGGAAAATGCCATTTGGATTATGTAACGCACCAGCCACATTTCAAAGGTGCATTTTAGCCATATTCTCTGATCTTGTTGAGAAATGTATAGAGATTTTCATGCATGATTTTTCTGTGTTTGGAGCATCATTTGATACATGTCTGGAGAATCTCAACATTGTACTAAGGCGGTGTGTTGAAACAAATCTGGTTCTTAATTGGGAGAAATGCCACTTTATGGTGATTGAAGGAATAGTGCTTGGCCACAAGATGATGGAATCATACTTGAGAATGCAAGAGGTGACACACTCAAAGATCTAAGAGGAGTTGGCTAAACATGAAGGTTTGGGCCAGTCAGGACCCAATGGGCCAGATGGGCTTAAACTTTTCATGGGCCATATGCAACTGAAACGGGTCGTTCCAGATGCAAAAGTTAACACACCACCAGTGTAGCAGAACGGGCCATTCTGGATTCAGAACGGGCCGTTCTGGATTCAGAACGGCCCGTTCCAAAACTGAGAATATAATATTCTTGACTTAATTGTGTTTTTGATCGCTCAAGTATTATAATTATGCAATTTTGATCTCACAATTTTTAATTGAACAATTTTAATTTCTCACAATTTTAAAAGATTATAGTTGTGTAATTTTAGTCTAGGGATGGCAATGGGGCCCCATGGGGGCGGGTAATAGTAAACTCGCCCCCGTCCCGCTGAATAAAATTGGCCCCATACCC